AGGAACGTGCTCAGCATTATCTCATCCTCGACGTCTGATATCCGCCGTGTCCCGACAGTCAGGAAGGGCAGCTGTGGTCCCCTGCAAACGCCATGACGCTGTCGTCCCTGGGCCCTGGAGCTGGAGGACCCTCCAATGGAGGTTGAACACACGAAAAGCTCCTCTTTCGCGGGATCAGGTCTAGTCACTATCCTGGTCTATTTCTAGCCAGTACAGTTGAGGCCTGCGTCGGTCGCCGGGAGGATATGACATGGCCCCCGACGAACCTAATACTTTGCGCGTGATGCGCCATTGGTCGGCCGAGGGCGACAGCGAAATCACGGTGGCTAGGAAACGAGACAGGAGGCAGACGAACAACAGCGAGCAACACTCCTCTCCTCATTGTGTCGTCCGCAGACCAGTCGTCCGACGATCTCTTCATCCACCGCTGTGCAGCTAGGTAAACAAGTCGACGACGTCTTGGCCTCGCCATTGGCTCTCTGGCGGCTGCGAGTAGTCATCGGGAGACGGGACTGGACCGTTTGGACAAGCTTCCTGTGGGGATGTGTGGCGGCGGCCGGTCTTGGTTACATCAACTGCACGCACAGCGCACGCGACTCTACAGGTATCAGATACACGTTTTGCCGGCCGCGGGCGCCCAATGGCAAAGGCCAAGTGCCATGCCCAGGCGAGACAGGCAGTTGGTCGACATGGAGATGTCAGTTGTCTCTGGCAGGCTGGTTTGGTCTGGTTCTTGGGAGAGATCCTCCTCAAACCGACAGGGCTGGGGAGGAGCAGAAGCACCGCCTGGAACAGCTGCAAGGGCTAGCAACAGCAGTCCCCGCCAGCTGGTGTCATGGGGATAATGGAGTGTAAAGTGTTGTAATTGGCAGCGCTGGGTTGTGTGCTATGTAAAATATACATGGCCGTCCATCCACATCACGCACGCCCAGGCGAGCACATGGGCGTCCAGGGCCTTGTACAGTCTCCGTCTCCCCCGTATCCATAGGTACAGGGCGGGCAGAGAGAGAGAGAGAGACGGAGAGAGGAGAGGCAGGAAGGGGAAGAAGAAAAAATTGTGCACAGCTGATAAATCGATCAAGTCCCCCGGGCGAGCAAGGCTCGTCTCGCTTGTTGTTTGGGATTTTCCGTTATTTCGTCTCTCAGGATGACATCTGAAAAGCAACTTTGTGCAATCTCCATCTCTAGCTATTGTTGCTGCCACTGAGCTTCTGCTTGCTTGCTGCTGCTGCTGCTGCTGCCTTACCTTGGCTTCTTTTACCTTGCCTTACCGACGTTTACCTGCCTCCACCGGGTTCCCGTCCCCTACCCCTCTATCTTTTGCCTGTCCGCCTCTCAGGCTTTCTCGAGCACCTCCTCCAGCCCGTCAGGTCTCCTCCAGTGTCCACTCCCCAAGTGCCAATGGGCTGTGTGTCTTCTGGCTGAGCCTCCTCTCTTCCTAAACCTTACCTTACCTGCCTGGGCTTCCTTCCTCTCTCTCTTTCCCGCCTCTCCTTCCGCGCGCCCTCGCCCTCACCTTACCTTACCTCGCCTTTCCGAGAGCCCGCGCTGTCCTTCTCTCACTCCTTCTTCCTCCTTCTCTCGTCCTGCTCTTCGACTTTTTGTTGTTTTCTTGAGCTTCTTTTGCCTTTGCAGCCCCCCAAAGCAGCAGACAAACGCTTGCCTGCACCATCCGAACCCTTCCCGCATTCCGCTCCCCGAGACAAGGTACAGCTGCCTTCACCCGGGCGCACCCAAGGTCCAAAGGAAAAGGAACCTTGAGCGCAGGAAAAAAAAAAAAGTTGCTGCTGCAGCTGGCTCCTTCACTAGGCTCGTTAATGCGCTTTGGGGAATCCAGCACAAGCATAACCTTGCATCGAGGTCTGCCGACCCTCCTTACCTAATTAACCAAAAAAATAAGCCCGCGCATTCTTTTGGTTCCCCTCAGAGGGTGCTTGCTTTATCAATGAAGCTCTTCGCAAAGAAGTCGTCCAAGAAGCAGCAAGCCGGCCAGGACGAAAACGACTACGACGCCCCCCCAGCCTACTCTCACTTCCCTCCTCCCACCAACTCGGAGGCTTCCTCTCCCACAAAGTCGCCCACCAAGCCCCGGTCACCCACCAAGGCTCATTCGCCGACGAAATCCCCCACCAAAAAATCATCCCAGCCCGCATCTCCAGGCCCTCGGGAGACAAAGTCATCGCGCACATCCCGCACTTTCGGCCGCCACCCTACAGACCCCGGATCACGCAGGACCAGCAAGATCGACTACGACACTCACCCCCTCAACCTCACCCCCGAAGAGCGTGCAAAGCGCCTTTCAGCCATGAGTGGTCGCAACTCCCCCGGAGCCATGGACATTGACTCCTCCCAGTCCAACGCCGCTCCTTCCTCCTCTCCTGCCCCGGCCCCCCAACCCTCCGCCCAGGCTTCATTCTCCGTCCCCATACCGAATGGCATCAACACAAACGTCAACGGCAATGATAATGGCGATGCCCCTCCTCCCCCACCTCACAAGTCCAACCCCTCCAGCCCTGTGCCCACTACCGAGGATGAGGCTGAGGCCTACAAGGGTGCGGGCAACAAGTTCTTCAAGGAGAAGGACTACAAGAATGCCATCCTCCAGTACTCCAAGGGTATGTTGCCGCCGGTTGCAAAGTCCGCGACACCGCAGTTACTAAGTCCAGTCTAGCTATCGAGTTGGTCCCCGATTCCGCCACCTACCTGAGCAACCGCGCTGCTGCGTACATGTCCAACACCCAGTATGAGTACGCCCTCGAGGACTGCACCCGCGCCGCCGATCTCGACCCCGAGAACCCCAAGATTCTCCTCCGCCTGGCCCGCATCTACACCAGTCTCGGACAGCCCCAGGAGGCCCTTCTGGTCTTCGGTCGCATCAACCCGCCTCCCTCTGCCAAGGACCAGGCTCCGGCCCGGGAGATGCTTAAGCACATCACCGCCGCCCAGAGCGCCCTGAGAGATGGCACCGCCGGCTCCATGGTTTTGCACGCCCTGGACCAGGCCGAGCGACAGCTGGGTTTCGGCGCTTCCAAGCCCCGCAAGTGGCAACTGATGCGTGGCGAGGCCTACCTGAAGATGGGCACCGTGAATGCCCTCGGCGAGGCGCAGAACATTGCCATGAGTCTGCTGAGGAGCAACAGCCAGGATCCCGAGGCCTTGGTGCTCCGTGGACGTGCTCTGTACGCCCAGGGTGAGAACGACAAGGCCGTCAGCCACTTCCGCAAGGCTATCAGCTGCGACCCCGACATGCGCGATGCCGTCAAGTACCTGAGAATCGTCCAGAAGCTTGACCGCATGAAGGAGGAGGGCAACCAGGACTACAAGCTTGGCCGATGGCAGTCCGCCATTGAGAAGTACACCTCCGCTCTGGAGGTTGACCCCGCCAACCGCGGTACCAACTCCAAGATCCTGCAGAACAGGGCGCTCTGCAAGATCAAGCTCAAGCAGTACGACGATGCCATTGCCGACTGTGAGCGTGCCATCAGCCTGGACTCAACGTATCTCAAGGCCCGCAAGACCAAGGCCAATGCTCTTGGCCAGGCCAACAAGTGGGAGGATGCCGTGCGTGAGTGGAAGGCGATCCAGGAGCTCGACCCCGAAGACCGCACCATCGCCAAGGAGGTTCGCAAGGCCGAGCTCGAGCTCAAGAAGAGCCAGCGCAAGGACTACTACAAGATCCTCGGCGTCGAGAAGGACGCGGATGACAACCAGATCAAGAAGGCCTACCGCAAACTGGCCATCATCCACCACCCCGACAAGAACCCCAACGACGAGCAGGCCGCCGAGCGCTTCAAGGACATTGGTGAAGCCTACGAGACCTTGAGCGATTCTCAGTAAGTCGCCTGTCTAAACATACTTCGACCTGGCCAGTGCTAACCATTCTACAGAAAGCGTGCTCGTTATGATAGTGGCGAGGACCTCATCGATCCCTCCGACATGTTCGGTGGCGGTGGTATGGGAGGTGGCATGGGTGGCATGGGCGGCATGCACGGGGGCATCGACCCTGAGATCCTGTTCAACATGATGGGAGGTGGTGGCGGCTTCGGCGGGGGTGGCGGCTTCAACGGAGGCGGCTTCCCCGGCGGCGGTGCACACTTCTCGTTTGCTGACGGTTCTGGTGGTCGCCCGCGCGGCGGCCAAGGGTTCGGTGGACGCGGCTTCAACTTCTCGACCTGACAATCCGAATCGGAGGAAGATGAAGCAGAAAGCTACGACGAGTCGGCCAAGCCGGGACGCAAGCCGGGCGGCTCATTCACCCAAGAGACGATGAAGAACCACATGAAGCGGCGCCAAGATAGCGGTGGCCGAATTGTGGAAAAGATACGCCAGTACGGAGTGTGGATTGTGGCCGCTTTGGTCCTAGTTCCCATGCAGCTCCTGATACTGGCCGCGATAACTGTGGGATTCGTGTATATTTGCATCTTAGGGGCCCGGAAGCTGGGCATACGGCTCCGTGGCGGGGAATGAGTCGACTGCAGACTGGCATCCATGATCTGTTTTTTTCGGGATAGACATGACGCAAGAAAAGTCACACACCGGCGGCGTTATCAAGGCATCGATCGATTGTCACCCCCTTTTTTTTTACCCAACCCTTTTTCAAAACCTGCGTTTTTCTTGTTAGAGTTACGACACCCAATTTCACAAATTCATGAGGAAGAAAGAAAGAAACCCAGGGGTACACGTCAGTCTTGTTTTTTAGTTTTTGTTTTCCCAAACAACTATGGGGGTGGGCTGGGAGGCGTCTTGCATATCTCTACTACGGGGGATTGCTTTTCAATGTCATCAAGGTTAGGCATAGTTCACACACCTGGTAATTGGACTCTAGACTTTGTCTCGGGCAGGTTTATTTCGCCTACTGCATGCTGCAATCCTTTTAATTGTGTTGCACTTGTGAGTCTCTATAAATGTGTGATTTGTCGCGTCGTCACGACATTTGGGTATCAATTATCCAGCGTCTCCATCCATCCATCCATCTATCCAACACGAATCTCTCCCAGTGCCTAATTCCGTCCAGGCCGCCCGCTCCCGGTAACCTTGGTCGTCTCCAGCACCCTCCCAACGTCGTCTCTCAGCTCAGGCATGCCCTTCTCGATATGCTCCGCTAGGACGTCGCGGAACTGCGCGAAAGCGTTCATCTTGCCCTTCATGAGCTGGTTCCCGCGGCGGACGAGCTCGACGAACTCGCGCGTGTAGATGTCCGGGTTGCGGCCGTTCTCGACGTACTGCACGAGCTCGGGCGGGATCTTGGGCAGGGCGCCGGGCAGGTCGGGGGAGGGCGGCGCGCCGGCGGTGGCGGTCATGTGCACGCGCTGCAGGGACGAGGAGAGCGCGGAGACGGAGTCGGCGAGGGCGGGCCCCGTGGGGGTTTGGTTCGCGTTGTAGGTCGTCACCTGGACCATGATCTGGTACAGATCCTGGATTGTGTCTTTGAGCTGTTCTGTTTGGGGTGAGGGTTAGCGGGCGCCGCGAGGAGTTGACGAGAGGTTGTTGCTTACGCTCGAGTTCGGCGGGAGTTGGTTTGTCCATTGGCGCCATCTTTGCGGGTGTTTGGTTGAAGAGTCAGGTAGAGGGGTTGTGTGCGACAGGGACGGTGGTTGAGCTCGCGGGTTGGGGATGCGATGCCGTGCGATGTGCGACGATGCGACGATGCGAGGCTGAGGTTTGCGACGAATGGATGGATGTTGGTGGTTTGTTTTAGTTCGGCTGGTTGTTGGCGGGATGAGCCGGCGGCACCTTCTGGCAGGCACCTCAGGTAGGTGTGGGTCACCGTCTTACAGGGGTTTGGCGGGTGTCAGTCCGGGGCCCTGGTCATATTAGCTGACCCCTCTATAACCTCAACGGTGGAATCTTTCCTTGGCTTTATTCCTTGGACAGCCGGGAATAACCCCACGAGGCTAATGGCACTTTGAGATGGCCGTCGGGTTAAAGCAGTCTATTTTCGGGTGCATTCCACACTTTAGAGTGCTTCTGGTAAGGATACCTCCTAGACAATGAATCTCAGGGTCCAACATCGGACCCCGCGTTACGTCTCACTTTGCGCCGCCGAATACCCTCCTCCAAGCCATCTTCTTCCTCGTTCCTTCGCGGGGCGAATCCGCGCCGTCAGCCGTCATTCTCTCCATGTCTCTCTGGTCTCTGCCACGATCGATCCCAGTCTCTGGTGTCTCACGCAAATGTCCCAGACTGTTGGCCGTCCTGCTGACTCGCCTCAGCGCCACCATGGCCGACTCTCTAGCACGCGGCCGCGGTGAAGGGGAACGGATGGGGTTGTACAGGTCCAAATACTCGGACGATTGGGGCGGCGGTGTGCGGCGCATAAGACGCACAGCTCTGCGTCCGCGGTCTGGTGGCACCAGTGGGCTTCGGGGCCGGACACGTCTTAGTTGCGGGGGCGGCGTCATGTGTCGTGCTTCTCTCTCGCCAGGGGTCTCGGGGGGCGTCACGTAGCCTGATGATGTAGTCGTGTCGGTCTTTTCCAGACGGTCCCCGAGACGAGCTCCGAGACGGGACGACGGGCGCTTGAGAGGTTCGTTGCTTACCCAAGTGGGGGCCTGGGGACGTCGCTGGTCCGGTGGCCACATGCGGAAAGACATCGGCGAAGGGCACGGCGAGAAAGACTGTGGTGTTGCCGGCTGGTAGGTTGGTGTTGGCGACCCCATTGTGCCCACCGTCGAGCCGCCGGATACCGACGTCTCTGGGGTTTGTGCAAATCCAACCAGACTTTGAAGTGGACCGTTGACTACTGGACGCTCTTCTACTTGGTCAACGGGTTGGTACGGTTGCATCCAAGTTGGGATTGGCTTCGTTGGACTTGGTTTGAAGGTTTCCTCCTCCAAAGGGTCGTTTACCGAGACGTAGATCGTAGAATCCAGCGGCACTGGACGTTGCTCATCCCCGCGGGATCCTTCCCCAGCTCGACGCAGCGACAACGAGTCTCGACTGACGGAACGGATGGACTACTCAGCGGTTAGAAGCGAAAATAATCAGTCGAATGTTGACTTACAGCCGGGGCTGTCACCAAGTTCCCAGTCTTCCTTTGACCTAGCTCCCATCGTACGCGGCCAAGACCGCCGTCGACCTTCTTGGTCCTCTTCAGCCCACTCTGCACCAAGTCTTCTCCCTCAAGGCCAACGGAGCAAGCGACGCAAACCGGAGGGATATCGACCTCCCTCCCCTTCCTCCTACCTAACATGCCTTCTCTGTCAAGATCCTCTCCGTGGTCGTCAAAGAGGTTCGACAACGGCACCCCGCGGTATATGATCTTGCTCCCATAGAACAGACAGCCGTAGCATGCTCGATGCCAGAAGCACCAGCCCAGGCTGACACAGTCGTCTCCGCGCAGGACGATCTCGCCGCAAACCCAGCATATCGCCAGGTCGATGATGGCCGTGTAGCAAGATGAACAGGTGAGGCGGGCCGAGCGGCCTAGGACCTGTGGAGGGCCGTCGGAGAGCTGCTAGCAAAAGGCGCAAGTGAATGGAACCCGTGCCGAATCCATGCTCCCCGTGGTTCAAAGACCGTGATGCCTTCTGTCTAATGATTCGGATAAGTGTGGTAGAGAATGAATCGACCATGAAGTAATGTTACCTACCTAGGGAGGAGTGCCGCATAACTTCAATAGTAGTAGGACATTGACGTATCAGGCAAGTGCTCAAAGCATTGTTCCTTGGGCAGTAATACTCTCACTAGCACCTGCACATCACCCGAATCACTGTCCGGCAGCACAAAATTTTGCTCAAACTCGTATGGCCATTGCATTGGCGCGCAACTTTTAAAACCTAAAACTCAGTTGAGGTGATACCTTGACCGAGACCAAACACAAAATGCAATCCTCTTGTCAACGCCCATCGTATTGTACACATGTAGACCAAACAACGCCATGGCCAATCCATCCTCGACCAAACCCCATGTTTCTGCCAACCTAATCAATCTGCAAATCAAAGCATCCGTCGTACGCCTTTCGTGTGATCCTGAGACACCGGAGTTGAAGAAACAATCAGTCTCCTGATGCAACTGACAGCCGCGTGTCTCCCCATTCGTCATCATATAGTACAATTCAACAACACCTTTACGATGTCGCGAAGCAATGTGCTGGCTCATAATATTTCCATGTGGAAGTTCATGCCGTAATCAGTTGCGCATCTTCGGCTTGGCCAGCATGTTCAGTCGGCTGAGACTCATGCCGGTACGCTTCTTAGTAGGGCTCGGCGAAGCAAGGACTCGGGGAGTCTGCGGCTTCTTGCCGACAGTGTTGGGGGTGGCTCCCATAAGTCTGGGGGCTAGCAGAGCGTCTCCCTCAGGGACTGGCTCAGCCTTACGTCTCTTGCCAGCCCGCTCACCAGAAGCCTCTTCGAGGTCGCCTTCCTCCTCGCGCGCTCGAGCACGCTTCTTGCTGGTCATTCCGTGGGGCTTTCCAGCGAGAAGCTGCATCGGGGACCGGTTCTCCTTGTTGGAAAAGGTGTTGGAGTCGTTGGGGAAGCTACCCGGCATGTCGAGCGATCTACGCACATGACGGATGCTAGATTGTCCTGCAGTCGAGCCAAATCCAGTGGGAGAGGCGCTACCGAACCGAATGGTATGGTCGCTGCGGAAAGTAAACGTTCCGGGGACGGTCGCGGGCAGAGCATCGCTGGGCTCTGCGGCCTTCGTAGACGGGCTCTGAATCGTCAAGTCAGGGTACAGGCCATCATCTTTGGTTCTCTGAGTGACGTTGTTGCCAAGAATAGCATCGAGGTTGGGATACTGAACCTCGCCTTGCTTACGAATCGGGTTAGCAGGGGCGAATGCCTTGTGGGCGATCGTATTCGGAACGTCGGTAGTGCGGTTCGTGTCAGGAGTAAAATCAACTCTCTTGAATAGCTTGCGTCGGGGAGTAGTGAAGGGAATAGCGGGCGGTGCCTTTTCGATGGCGACCTGGGGAGCGGGAGTCTGCGCGACACCAGACGCAGGCTGGGGGATGGCACTCTTGGCCTTATCGAAGGCGCCCTTTCCACCTCGCAAAATAGACTTGACCCTCTCGAATCGTCCTGGGCTCACAATCCGGCGTTTCAGCTCGGTTGTCTTCTCCAGCGCACTCAAATCGTTAGTGGTGGCAGACTTTGTGAGGCCGCCCAAGTCGGGCTTGGATGGAGACTTTCGAAGGCTTCCAAGGTCGGGCTTGGAAGGAGATCTAGCAAGGCTTCCCAGATCAGGCTTGCTGGGAGATTTGACCAGCGAGCTAGGCAGAGGCATCTTGCTGCCGGCAGCGCGAGCAAGGGAAGACTTGGTAGGGCTGGTCAACGAGGCCAGGCTAGGCTGGGACCGAAGGCCAGGCGTAGGCGCAGAGGCAGCAGGAGCGTCATTACCGCTGGACTTGGGGCGCGGAAGGGAGCTGCCATCGCGAGAAGTAGGACGCGCCGTCGAAGCATCGTCCTCGAAGCGCTGGCGAACACGCTTGACAGACGAAGGAGGCTCCAGGTTGGCAAAGATTCGAGCCCTAGGGTGAGGGCCAGCCAATGTCTTCTTGGCTTCGTTCGAGTTCGTGTCGTCCAGGTTCGCCTTAGACGGAGACCGCTTGAGGCTCGACTTCTGGCTGGGTGTACCAGCGGCCAGCAAGTTGGGCTTAGAAGGCTGTTTGAGGATCGACTTGGGGTGGCTCGGAGTGTCGTCGAGGTTGGCCTTTGAGGGGGAGCGCTTGAGGCTAGACTTAGGTTGAGTGGGAGTATCATCCAAGTTAGCCTTGGACTGGGAGCGCTTGAGAGAGCTCTTCAGAGGAGTGACTCGGCCGGGTTGGGCGCGAAAGGCGGAAGGATGACCCTCGATAGAGTCCATCTTCTTGAACTCGGCCATGTGAGCAGCGCTGTAGCGGCTCGACTTGCCCTTCGCCTTTGCGATTCGTCGTCCATTCAGCTCCTCGTCCTCCCTCTCGAGTTCGCGCTTAGCCAGCAGCTCAGCCTTAATTCTAGCGGCCTCCTCGCGCAGCTCATTCATCATGCGCTGGGCATCGTTGCTCAAGCCGGTGTCTCCAGTCGGCTGATCAACGCGGAAAGTAAAGGGCGACTCAGGCACGCCAGACGTCTTGGAGGGCGTCGCCTGAGTATCGGTGGTCTTATCAGAAGGCTTCATATCTCTGAAGCCAAGCCAGGTAGCGGAAGGAGGAGCGACGGTGGGGTGAACCTTGCTCGGGTGCATCTCCGAGAGGGGAGCCTTCAGTTGAGAAGAGGAGGAAGGCGTGGCTGGGTCGTGATCGGGGACGACGAGGGCATTCAAGCTCTCAGCGACTGATTTAGAGGGAGGAGTATCATCTCGCTCGGCGACGGAAGCGAGAGTCTGTTTGGCCTTGGGCTAAAAAAAGAAAAAGGACGTTAGTTCGGGGCCCGCGAGTCGTTTGTTTACAGCCGGCGGTCGGATTGTCTTACCTTGGGCGTGTTCGCACCGCTGGCCAACCGGGCCGAACGACGGCGAGGCGGCGTCATGTTGGATTGCTGCTCCGTGAGGGTATCGTTGGCTTCGGTTTGATGTTGCTGTAAGGTTAGTATGGGTGATGGTCAAGACGAAGAAATCGTCGATCAAGCCAGGTCCTTGGGGAGAGACTCTGTGAGAGATTTGATGATGTCAGGCGAGAGTGAGAGTGGGTGTAGCTCACAGGTTCGGCGTTGGTACGTAGAACGCGACGGGGGAGTGCTTGGAGGGGCTGCCGTTTGTTTACATTCCACAGCCGTTTGCTTTGTTTCGATTGGTCCGTTCGAGGTAGAAAAACAGTGACGGCCCAAGCTCCACGCCCCGGGCCTTGGGTGATCAAGTGGGGCTGCCGCAGTCCGGACAGTGTTTGCACCGTACTCTGGGCGCATTTGTTTACCGTTCGCGGCGCCATCACCCAGTGTTTGCTTGGGTTCACCCTGAACATCTCGTGGGTCAAACAAACAGAGCAGGCGCACCTCGTGTCTAGGGGTCCACGTCTACTCTTTCTCGAACTCTCTGTTGTTTCACGTGGCTTGCTGTTGTTCACGTTGTTTTGGACGCCACGGTAAGTACGACGGTGACATTGACACCTCCTGTTGTGGCTGCATCTGCTCGATTGGATGGCAGTGGTTCTCCCACTCAGAGATATCAGCGAACGGAAAGTCTAGTGGACGATGCGATCACGACAACAACAAAGCCAGCCTCGGCTATGCGTTCAAAGGCGCAACGCCACTATCTGGTGGCTGCAACTCAACGCAAGCCAGTGTCGGACCACACAGTTCTAGTTCCCGATTCTCTCCTTCTAACCTCGTTCAAAACATATGGGTCAACGTTTCGGGATTAAACGCTGTCTACCGAGGATGAAAGGGATTAAAAGAAAAAGATTAACCCGGACTGCCGCATCGTTTCCCCCTTCACAATGACGCAGCATGAGACTCCAAGGGTTCGTGTTGTATTCCATGGATGGATGCTATGAAGAGCCCAGCAAGGCTGAAGATTAGCGAAATTCTATCCGGCTCCGAGGAACTGGATCTTCCCGCCTTCGCTTGAGAGTTGCGACTCGAAGTCAGATTCGCCAACGTGTAGCGCCATTCCCCTTGTGAACACACACTGTACAAACACTCCGCCTGCAGATTGATTTGTATGACCGAGATAAACGTATAAAAATGGACATGCGATAGAAGTCGTGGCTTGACACCCAACCATCGAATTTGAGCCT